CGGCACCGGTGGTGGGGCTGTCACTCGAGCCCCCCCGCTGCTTGTTGGGGTTCGGCGGGCGAGGGGCGTGCACTGAGGGTCGGGGGTGTTCGCTAGGCCTCCAGGAGACGGAGGGAACTCCACCCTGGCCCCTCGCGTCTTCTCATCTTCCTCCTCCACGACCGACCTCGCTGCAAGCGCTCCCCTCTCCTCCCTCCCCCGCCCTCCGTTTTTTCCTCCGGAGGGAGATGCCGCGGTCTGATACCGGCCCCGGGAGGGAGGGGAGGACGGGAGTACTGTCAGTGCGGATGCGGGAGAAATTCCCGGGGCGGCTGTCCAGCGGAGAGCTCCGTGGGGGGCGGAGGAGGAGCTCACCGGGGGGTGCTGTTCCGGGGGGACGGTTGTTTCGGGAGCCTTTGGAGATCCCGGGGTCTCTAGAGACCGTTGTGTGCGTGGAATGTTCTGACTTCTTTGAGGACCACCCTGTGCTTTGAAAGCCTTGTGTGGAAGTGTTCTCTGTGTCATTCGCTGTAGTTGTTGTATTCCTTCCTCTGATGGTCACTGCAGGGTGGGACGAGTGCTGGGTCACTTTCTCTTTTTAAATAGAGTGTTGCCTTGGCTCCGTGGTTGAGCGTCGACCTATGAACCTGGAGGTCAGGGATCGATCCCGTGTTCGCAGCACAGGCCCCGGTGGTGGGCTTGATCCCCAGTGTGGGGCGTGCAGGAAGCGGCCCATCATGATTCGCTCTCTCCCTCTTCCTTCCTCTCTGAAATAAATAAAAATATTTTGTTTTCAAAAAAGAGAGAAGTAAAAAGTTAACCTTAAAAAACACACACACAAGAAATACAGTGTCGCCGTCTGGTCGGGAGATCTGGATGGAGGACTCTCACTCTAGTTAGAATTTATTTCACTCTCTTTGCCACTAACTTTGCAAATAATCATATCCTGATATGTGGTATTTTTAATTGTCATAGGTTATTTAGCTTATTATGTATTTGTCATGTTTCCTAAGTCAATGTGTAACCTCTGGGACTTTTAAAAAAATATATATCTGAATTCACTCAAAGAACTTAATATTCATTTCTTTTTTTCATAAATTCCAGTTAAATGTACATTATATGCTTGGATTTGTGCTGGGAATACCAGGATGAGTGAGAGAAATAACACTATCTGGCACATGGTTGGTACTTAATATTAGCCATTTGACGTTTATTTATTTATTTTATTTATTTATTTTTTTATGCTCATATATTATTATTAGCTACAACTGTGCCAGGCTCCATTTTAAGAGCTTCTCATGTTTTATTTTTTTCCAACTTACATGCACTATTATTAAAACTCACTTTTCAGGCAAGAAACAGGCAGGTTAAATGCATCTAAGATCACACTGACAGTTAAATGGCAGAGACTCAGGATTTGAACATTCTGGCTCCTGAGAATACATGATTCACAGTAACTGCCCTCTGAAATAATTCCAATATTACCATACTAGATCCCCACCCAATTTTCTGAAAGCAAATAGTGACCCACTTATTATTCTCATAGCACCCAGTTTTATGTGCAGAATAACATATATCCCCGCCACTAGAACTGTTAGGTGGCATGTTCACTCTTAATGGAGTTGTACTAGAACTACCTGCTTACTGTTAATCTACAGGTTACTAGAGCAATCACAGCTCCACAAACTTTAAAACTACACCCCTAAGCCTGTTAATATTAGTAATTTACTTATGAGACCAGTGTTTCTGATCTTTTCCCCTCCAAGACCTAGCAATTATCATTTTATGTGCCTCAGGCATGAAACAGCTCTGGCCACCGACACAGGCATCAAGCTAGGATGAACTAAGGACTGTACATCTGCTTTGCCCTGGACTGATATAAGAGCAACACCACCAATCAGGTGTCTCCTTGCCCACCATTTGACGTTTAAAAAAATGTTTTCATTGATCCCTAGAGGGAGAGGAAGGGAGAGGGAGAGGGAGAGATAGAAACATCAGTGGGAGAGAAACATGGATTGGCTGCCTCCTGCACATCCTACTGGGGATGGAGCCAGCAACCCTGACATGTGCCCTGACCATGTGCACTGACGGGGAATTGAAACAGCAACCTCCTGGTTTATGGGTGGACCCTCAACCACTGGGCCACACCAGCTGGGTAGCCATTTGACTTTTTAAAAAAACAGTATTTAAACTTGGAAATTGTGGCCTTAGTGTTTAGTAATGGAGAATGTTTAGATTTTAAAACTCTGCCAAGCATTGTCAGTATTCACTTTATGGAAGAATATTTGATTGAAAGTGGACATTCACATGCTTAGGCAGTATTAAGTGTGATTTAAGTTCCCCATGCACATAAGCTCAATATATTGTACATGTTTTTGTAAAATTTCTTAAAATGATCTGCTTGCTATTGCAGCATATATACCTGAAACATTCTATACACAAATTGTGTTTAAGTAATTTTCCACTGGTAAGTTATCTTAGTAGACACTTGGCTGTGGCAGAAATTTGTAATCAATCGGGCTTTTAATGTCTCTTCTTTTTGGGCCACATTTGCAGTAAGCCAAGACTACTAGTAGATCTTTTCCCAGTGGTTTTATAATCACTTTAATGTATTGCATTGCTATTCTTAGTTGAAATTTCTGAAGATGCTTTTCTATCAGCAAATTTGGTAAGAAATAGTTGATATACATGTTGATGTTACAAATATTTAGTTTTATATTAGGTCTGTGGTAAGAGAAAATTAGAGTACTGTAATAGCTTAGCCTTTTTGTGACACTTGTGTAACTTTAGTTTCAGCTTCTTGCTGAAGTAATTCTAGCTAATGGATTTTATTTTTTCATATAAGTTTGTTATAAAAGTAATAGTTGCTCATGCAAAAATTTCAAATCAAATAAAAGTTGAAAATGTCTCCCTTTTTCCTGGTTATTCCACTGTTGTGTATTCTAATTAAATTTTTAGAAAAAGACTAAAATGTGACTATATTAATAGAAAGTGAAAAGGGATCGGCAAACTGGAAGAGGAAGCAAATTACAGTGTTGATTTTTTTTTTTAAGAAATGAAGTTTATTGCCAGCACTGGTTTGGCTTAGTGGATAGAGCGTCGGCCTGCGGACTGGGGGGTCCCGGGTTCGATTCTGGTCAAGGGCATATACCTTGGTTGCGGGCACATCCCCAGTGGGGGGTGTGCAGGAGGCAGCTGATCGATGTTTCTCTCTCATCGATGTTTCTAGCTCTCTGTTCCTCTCCCTTCCTCTGTGAAAAAGCAATAACATATATATTAAAAAAAAGAAATGAAGTTTATGATTGGTTTTGTCTTAATATGATAATTGAAAATACTGAATTTTTCTTTATAAGATGTACTAGAAACATGATTGTGTATGAGTTCATAGTTGACATACAACTAATAAGTTATCTTATTTTTTTAAAAATATATTTTATGAATTTTTTACAGAGAGGAAGGGAGAGGGATAGAGAGTTAGAAACATGGATGAGAGACAAACATCGATCAGCTGCCTCCGGCACACCCCCTACTGGGGATGTGCCCGCAACCAATCGATCAGCTGCCTCCGGCACACCACCTACTGGGGATGTGCCCGCAACCAAGGTACATGCCCTTGACTGGAATCGAACCTGGGACCCTTCTGTCCGCAGGGCAACGCTCTATCCCCTGAACCAAACCGGTCAGGACACTAATAGGTTATTTTAGACTGTAATGGTATATCTCATCATTTATGTTGTGATGACAGCTGCTCTTAAATAACTTAGAACAGTGGTCTAGACTAGAACCTAAGCATGCTTCACAATCTCCTGGTCACTGGAGAGCTCATTAAAAACCAATTAAGGCAGATTGCTGAGGCGCTCAAGAATTTGTACAGTTGACCCTTGAACAACACGGGTTTGAACTGAATGGGTCGACTTATAAATGGATTTTTTTTCCAGCAAATATACAAGCAGCCCTTCGTATCCCTGATTTGGCATTTTCAGATCCCTGATTGAAAGCAGTATTTCCCATCCTGGTTGTGAATCCGAGGATGGAGGGCTGACTGTGTGCATTATTTTCCGTCATTTTATATAAGGCACTCAATTAAGCAAAACGTCCGCGGATTTTGGTATCTGAAGGGGTTTCTGGAATTAATCCCCTGACGACACTGAGGGACAACTTTAGTTACATTTTGGGGGAATCAAAAGTTATATACAGATTTCAGGGGTGGGGGTGGGGTAGGGGGTGGTATCAGTGCGCCTAACCGCCACGCTCTTGTAGAGTTAACTGTATTTCTAACGAGTTCCTAAGTAATGCTGCTGCTGCTCAGGGACTGACCACATTTTGAGACTCTCTGGCGTGGAGAATTTGTGTGTAGAGAATTGAAAATTACAAGGTTAAACTCTGCCAGTGTTTGAGTTGAATCAAAGTTTTATACTTGAATAAAATAAAATTTTAAAAAAGTCCATAGCAATCCTGCCCAATTGAGTTCTCTGTCATGACTTTCTTTTCTGTTCAGTACTGTAGCCACTAGCTACATGTGGCATTGAGTATTTGAAATGCGGTCAGTACAACTGAAGAACTGGATTTTTGTGTTATTTAACAAATAGTCACATGTTAATGGTTACCATACTAGACAGTGCGAGGCTGTAGAAATGAAAAATATAGTTATTTTATAATTATGGGCTAAAAATGTGCTCATGAAACAAATCGATGTAAAACAGCTGTAAGCGTGTTTAATCTAGAGAATGTGACAATTTAATGTTTATGTTAGAGTTTGTTTTCTATTTTTATGGGGATAATTTCAAGCTATGGTAAAAATGAGGAAAAGAGAAGGGGGCAGGACTAGGGGGAGGTTGAGAGAGAGGTGGTCTCCTAAAGCAGGTCTCCAAGCCAGAATGTTTGTGGAAGGTTAACTTTTTTTTCCCCCCCTGGGCTGACATGTAGAGCAGTGAATCACTTGGGCAGAGACTTTTCAGCGTCCCCACTGAAGACCAAGGACATCCTCTGTTAGGGATTATATTAATGAAGGTATGTGTGGGGAGTAGGAAAACCCAAGAAAAGGTGCTGGAACCGCAGGTAGGCACAGCTGACTCCAACCAGGTGTTACTAAGCCCTTACAGCTGAGAGATTGCCTGCAGAGGACCCAGGGGAATGACAGCCCCTGCCCTCTCCTTTTACCCTGGCAATTGCTTGCCAATCGTGTTGTTTGTAGACATACGTACTTATGACTTTTATCACACTCATCATCTCCATCTCACCCCAAGCTTCTTAAGCCCCCAACATATAACTTCCATAGAGCCTAGCATTCTCCCAAGGGTTTGGAAACATTTTACCCAAGTTTGCTTTAGTGTCTCATTGTGAACAGTGTTAAGTCCAACACACCTGCATAACGGTGACCAGCTTGCAAGAGCTAGCTAGAGCTTGGTCCCTTAGTTTTACGTCCAAATTAGTCTGTCCATCACATAAATGCTCTAGGGGTGAACTTAAAGTTGTCAAGCCTGCTCTTAACCGCAGTCCCATTAAGGTCTGATTATTAAACCCAGGCTTCTCAGAACAGTCACAGCCCTACTTGTTTTGCATTTCTGTTTTAGAAGTCACATATCTTTGTACAAAGACAACATTTCTAGGGTCCTTTTATTTCACAAAACTCCTTTCACATCCATTGCTTCTTGATTGATTGCATTTGCGTTGCTGAGTCATCCATTGGAGCATCTACCATGTGCCAGGAATACACTCCAGACAGAAATCAGGGAAGGGAGTATCAGAAGTGTTTGCAAGGGCTAGAAGGTTGCAATTTAAAATAAGGTAATCAGGGTAGGTGATGTTTGTTAAGAAATTGTTGACACTTGAGCACTTAAGTAGTTTTGGACACATAATTCCTGGTAGAGAACAGTTGTCATAGAGGCCCTGGGGCAGGAACAACTAGGGTAGTATTTCCTGGAGCACCAAGGTAACCTTGCAAGAGAAAAGCAAGTAGAGAGGGTACCGCTGAGGGTAGAGAGAAAGTGTAGATGGAGTCTGAGTATCCCTGAGACCTATCAAAGGCCCAGGTGGGCCATTTCAGGAACTTTAAGCTTTTACTTTGAGACTTGGGAGTTCCTGTAGGTTTTAAGCTGAGAACAGTGAGAGTTGATTTTCAACCTAAAACACATACTCAGACTGCAATCTATAAAACAGACTAAAATAAAATGAAGGTGGTGGTCAGGGGCCAGGAGTACAAGCCAAGAGATCAAATTGGACACACCTGCAATCAATAACCCAGAACTTGCATTCTTTGTCTCCAAGGGGAGACAAAGAATGATTAACTTGAATACATGTTGAAAAATAGAGCCAACTGAATTTCCCGTTAGGTTAGAAAGTCAAGGGTCACTCAAATGTTTTAAGCCCAAACTAGAAAACAGTTAAGTACTTTACATATTCTCATTTACTCTCTCTCCCAACTCTGAGTGAAAGACAGTAACACTACCCCCCCCCCCCCCCCCCCCCCCCACTCCACACACACAAAGACACCCAAAGGTGAGGCTCATAGTAGCACACCTCAGAGCCCTTGTTTTTCTCTTATAAGCCCCCAAAGCTTAAGCAAAGACCAGCCTGGAGCAGTTCACCCTTCCTTCTCCCTGCAGCTCTGCAGCCCTTGCCCTCCAGCTCCCAGGAAAATTCGATGGGAAGGTTAACTCTTAACTAACAGACTTCAAATGCTGTACTAGCCACTTAAAACAATACTAACAATTGTTCTTTTACCTAAAAAATTTCAATCCACTGCTCTAACACGTCAGTTATTTCTACTTTATTTCCTTTACATCCTGATTGTGTCATTTTGTGCATATACTGTAATGTATTGGATATTGTCATTCAATCAACTGTTTGACTGTCTTACTGTATGCCAGGCACTAGGGATGCAGCAGTGAACAAATCAAACATCCATTCTCTCTCATAGTTTACTTCTAATGGAGCAGACAAGTAAAATATATGTCACATGAAAAGTGATAAAGGGAAGGAGAATAGGGAGTGTGGGATATTAGGCTTGCAGTTGTAGGGGAGGAGGCCTCACTACAGTGTCATTTGAGCAAAGATTTGGTGGAGGGGAAGAAATTCAAGCCATGCACATAGAGCTGGGAGCTGAGCATTCCAGACAGAGAAAATAGCAAGTGCTAGATTTGGATTTGGGGTGTGGGAGAAAGATTGGAGTCAAGGATATGAAACCAAGGTTTCAGGCCTGGGCAACTTAGAGTGATTAGTCATTTTCTGAGTTGGAAATAATAAATAAGTGGGCAGCAGGGTGTGTGTGTGTGTGTGTGTGTAGGCGGG